GTTTTCGTCGATAACAAAGTTGGATGGTAAGAAAGTCACTCGACATCTACGGCTTAAACCAAAGTTCAGAGGAAAATAGATGAAAATTAAACGGACGTGACAATTCTCTCTAAATAATTCTTCCATATATCGAGACTGTATTTATTGGTTAATTTTCGAAGATCGTTTACGCAAACTCCAACCCCATCATTTTACATGATTCGCACCCACATAATCCATTTCGAAAACAATTCATTTGGCATCGATTCATCTTCGTGCCTCACGGTATTCCAGAACAAGGCTTTCCTCTGTATGCGCGAAAACCTGCAACTTCTAGTTTCAATGTTATATGGCTGTTTCCATCAGTATGATAAACCAAATAACGACAAATAAATCAGACTATTTGTAAAACAACTGTGTGAGCTGATTTTGTAATTTGATTCCCGCATTTTCAGGGGATCTTCAAGCAGTTTTCGGTATATATTACAGTAAACGTTTGTTTCTCCTTAATGTTTTAGGTAACTCATTTTATTTCTATTGCACATTGATTTATTTCCTGTCCTGACCCATCACCGATAGCACAGACAGCCCTTCGAGATAATTTTACAAGCCGGGGTATGGAGTCCCGCTTGTTATTTTCAGAAGCGCTACCTTACACGTCAGACTCATGACATGATTTCGTCATGAGCTCAAGTCCCTTGATCGGCTTTGTTCCGTAAACGTTTACTACGAATATCGGCTGAATATTTCATGTAGCTTCTCAAACAACAGACAACAATCCTAAATTGCTTCAGATTTCAGAACCAGTCTTTCTGTTCACAGTCGTATTAGTCAATTTACTATCATCGATTGCAAGTAGCCAGAAAGCATACATTCCTCTCCGTCGTTGACACCACCGTGTTACAGGGCAAGATACAGACCTGAATGGACCGGTCACCCGCAACGTTGACGGCGATTGGTCAGATGTAAAACTGTGGAGTCAAATTTAACATACAGGACTAGCACCGTGGGCAAAAATTGATTTTCTCAAACAGAACTGAATTCACTATTAGCGCAAAATTATATGACATCACACAAAAACTGATATACATCATAGAGGAATTATGTATAAACTACAAGGTTAAACTGTTAAAACGGAGTATATACATTTTCTTTATCTTAATCAGACAGGTTTTTAAATGGATCGCAACGGCTGAAGAGCTATTCAGTTAAGTGGAGGAAGATAACCGAAAAACAAGCAAATGCAGACTGTGTTTTCAAGCAATGGGAAGATGAGTGAAATAGACGATGTAAAGTGGAGAAATCTTCAAATGAACTCAATAACCATACTACTGTGACAATATATAGTGATTAGTTCATAGTGGCAATTCCCAGGTTTTCCGCAGTTACTGGTTTCCCAACCTTTTCGATGTGCCGGTGGATTACCCCTTACAGCCTAGCCAAAATCTTCGTTGTTGTATCTCATATTTATCCATCATTTAGTGAAACGTCCTTGTGCTCACTCGCCAGTTCACAACACATTCCTTTGATGAATTTCGAGGTGAAATACTGAACTAAATCGTGGTTTGTCGAATCAAAGATACTGTCGCAAGTGTGAACGTTTGCCACGGAACAACAAGCCTGTTCCGATTTGATCATGTCCCGAGACACGTAAACGGTAATTTGTCGGGGCACAATGCGCAACAGGCTTTTGTGAAATGAGGTCATCAGTGAATGAAGAGAATCGTTCAATAAATGCCGCAGGCACAACACTCTTTTACTTCAAATGCACTAATTACAAAAATATAGAATTTCAAATGCGAATAACTTTAATTGCCCAAGGGAAAAATTTGGTTTTGTGAAAATCCATGGTACCAGAGATTAGTCAATTGTTACTTATTTGTAAATCTTCAGGGTTGTGTGTTGTGATGTGCGCGTTGACATTTTGATACCATCCCCATCCTATTATATTCTAAGATAATTGGATGGTATTGTCATTTACAAATATATGCGTATCAAAGCAAAATGGCATGCGACCGGACGTGTCAATTCCGAGGGTGGGGTAGAGTTAACTATGGATCAAAGTTATAGATAAGGTCATGGATTAAGCTCATCTAATGAAAGGATTATGGAACTCGGAGAAATGCCAAATGTGAAAGGAGTTTGCTAATCGAAATTAAAGAAACAGGCGAGATGGGGGAATGGTGGAAAGGAGATAATAAGGGAGAAGTAAATTGGGGTATCAGATTGCAATTCCCAGGTTTGCTTCTATCAACCCACCACTATATGGAATACAATTTATTTTCGTTCACTAGAAGCGAAGATGAATGGAACCGTGGGGTTATCTGATATAAATAATAGGCATGGTCGGATTTTGATCATTCTAATAAGTGATACCTCGGTGTATAGGCGCACTGTGTTCAGTACAGGAATGCGGGGATTTTTATGTTATGACCGGCTTCGAATGCGTCCAAGGTGTCCGTGGAATCTTCGGAAGAGTTTTTTTCAGTAAATGCACTGTGCTCTCTTGGGTGCGAGTAATTGACAGCTTTACAGTCGTCCGGTTAAATAGCACGCCTAGCCTAGAGGGGCCTTATGTGACTCGCCACTCCAAGTTCCGGGGCTTAGGTTACCGGTTTCCATGAAGGAGCAGCAGGTCTTCGTGACTTTGGGGTTCGCTCCGTCTGCTGTTTACCACATAAATATATGTAAAAAACATAGTTCCCATGATCCATAATATCATCTTTCATTTACAAGTTTATACTAGTCCAATGCAGTCAGGCAATTGTAGAACTAGATAAGCAATTGTGACCAGTTTTATTTTCATGTACGCCCATTTCGATAGAGAAAAGCCCGTGATCCGAAGTAACCCCGAACGGACGTGAACCGTTAAATTAGGTACCATATGTAGTGTTTTTCAACCACTTTACACTATACTATCATATTTATATATATATGTATCAAAAGTGGCTAGTGTTGATCTAGTCAATGCTCATCGGCCGATTTAAATTTACCCGTGATGCCAGCTGCCTAGGTGATGAGACCAGACAGCTATATAAATACATCAAGGAACATGAACCTTTGCGGTTTAGTCTCGAAGGGAACAGTGTTGTCTCTATTTGGATTCTTGATCACGTGATCGAAAATGAACTCATGGTGGCAAGAAATTTGGGTTACACCATTATTTACTTAGTCTTAAAACCACAATTTCAGGTTGTTCAAATTAAAAGACGCAACAGTCACTCGCTTTCTAAAAGCAAAGATCATTAAAATCTCTTTTTCAGGCGCATAAACGTACCTGACCAAAACGGACGGAATTCTGTAGTAGCGCAGTGATGACCCCAATATTTATGTAACTCATTTGTGTTCGAACATCAGAACTATTGACCACAACTGTTGGATCCCATCACATCACCCTCTCACTGTTATCATTGCATGGTGATTATTCAGAACCTGCTTGACGAATCTGACTCATTTAATTGGAATGCAACGTGATGGAGATTAATGCTTTTACTAATTTTGTTCATAGTGGTCTTGAAGATGAGTGTACTTGTGACATTTCCCAAACTGTTAATCAGCCACTTCTGAGCGCGCAATGCACAGACCCCAAAGTGAGGCAAATAAGCTCATGTTTATCATGAAAGTTGATTCATCAATAAAACGAAAGAATTACGTTTGTGTACAACACGGCGGCAATCACCTGATTCCTCGTGATTTATGCAACAAACTGTTCCGTTGGTGCTTATCGTCTGACCCTGAGCCAAGCGAACGCAATCACGGTGCTGATGTTTTATGTGAGATAACTACTACATCATGTGTATTCGGAATAAATTAGAAATAGAACACGCTAGACATTCAAAAATGTGTTCCTACCCATTAAACATTCTTTCTAAGATCCTTCACAGACCTGGTTGACTAGTTTGGCATATTTGGCCGTGCAGCAAACTACAGGCTGTCTTAGGCCATTGTTTTTCCATCCTGTATCTTACATCCGTACCTGATTCGGGATCCACTGTTTATCTTTGTCTTCATACAGCGTGGATAGTTATCTGTTAATTTTCTTCCTCACGAAATGTATATCTCTTATTTGTGGTGCCAGTTGTTTTCCACTGCTTGTTTATTTACACTGTGTCAGGTGCATATAATAAACATCAGGCTGCCTAGATATTCCGTCACTGTTATACATAATTTCCAATCCTAAGCTAGCCTAAAACTTCTATGGCTGTAAGTGACTAATGGAGGATGTGCTTTGTTTCTACGATGAATTTGTCGTGTAAATGAGGTCTTAGTTGAGAAAGTGGACGTCTCTTTCGACTGTTTTGTTCCCATCAGGAGTGCGAATCTATCGACGCAACACGCGATCGAACCCGGGAACCCACGTCTAGAACGCAAATATACTATCCTCCTGGATACCAGTCGACTGATCAGACCGTTTCTCGTTTTGAATTTATACGATGGATTCTTCATATAAACTAATCAAATCCTCCGTTACTGCAATACAACAAATAGTCACAATTGCGAACTACTTCCGAAGCACATATTATATCTGGTTGATGGATATGATCTATGTAAAGCAGGCCATTGCTATTTCCTAACTCGATTCAAAACTTTCATGGGTGCATTCCAGCATGGTCGAACTTCAAATGCCGAACGAAATAGTTTTTTTGCGTCGGCCAAAATGTTTAACTGACCCCGTGTGCCACTAATGCCACCTGCCCACGAAGGTAATCTGGCATCGATAATACCAGAGTTATCACTGGCTGGTATGTATAGCTGTGTATTTCTCAATAATTTGAAAACCCTCAGAAAAATGAAGAGAACATTCGCATAATCGTGTGAACAATCACCGTCGCGGGAAGGGTTCAACTTCAACACAATTTGTTCGTACAAAAGAGAGCCGGGAAGGATTCTGAGTGCTGTGAAAGTAGTCGCATTTGCGTGTGTGTATGTGTCGGGGTATGTGATAATGTGAATAAGGTGACCAATGCAAGAGTTAGGGTCGAATATTTTCGGTAAGATCATTTTTATCAATTTTATTGGGCCTAATACCTCTGTATTTCTGCTTCAAGTTCCTGGGTTGGTAACTGGACCAGGCGCCAAGGGCCACAATCACGTTTTTTATTTGCTGAACCGTCATGACGTCTCGATGGGCTTGTAGTGGACGTGGGCATGGTAGTGGTTGTGGGAGGACTAGCGGGAATAGTGTGTGCTTCACTGTTGTGATCTTTTCCCATACAGGTGGGCGATACAGTGTGACTCATGTTAGTTTGTTGCTCGGATTTGGTGACTGGGACTGGCCGATCTTGTACAGCAGAGATTGGCACCAGGACCGCTTGGGGACTGAGAGTGCAGGAGCTTGGAGGGGTGAGCATGTGCAGTTTTCCATCAGCTGTGTAAGATACGTAACGCACAGGTACACCTAATGTATGCACTGCAGCTGGCGTCGAAGTTGTTACGCTCAGTGGTTCTGAGGTTGGAGAGACAGAACCCTCCAAAGGACAACTCAAACCGATATTATTCACACTCCCACCACGACCAGAATCTGCATCCGAATCCAGAGCGATGGGGTCGAATCCGGGAGGTAGGGCATGTGAATGAGAAATGTGCCCGTGTCTTCCTAATGGCTGAGGGCACGAATCAGGCTGTTCGCCTAGGGTACACGGAGAACGATGGGCCAGAGGGATGTAAGAACCGTCTGTACTGACTACAGGAATAGCAACAAGCTGAATACTGGCAGACGGGTCCTCATGAATCGCACAAAGGGCGGTATCACCGGGCCGAAATAAACGCATTCCCGTTGTTTGATGTAAGAGGTATTCTTGCTTCTGAAGTAAACAATAGGAGGACAAAAGAAGGAGGATTAAATAGAACGAAACATACTCAAAATATTCTTTTACGAATTATTTGTGTGACCAATTGTGCAAATTCAGGAGCGGCAAAGGTGTAAAGGTATAAATATCTCGCATGCCCTAGAGTGTTATATATATATATATCTTTCAAAAGCTCTAACTCTCATCCACTCAGAGTTCTGTGATCACTGTTTTTTTCTTTCGTTCTAGCGTAGTATGAACACACAAATAACTTTGTAAGAATGCCAGTTATGCGCCGAATCTCAGTCGTATAGATACTCGAAGAATAATGCCCAAATTCCAGCAATGGCGGTTGCAAAGGCTGCATACTAGCGTATTGCTAAGTGAACTAATTTTGGCTTCATTTGTTGTATTGCACAGAGTGAAATATATTACTGTTTCGAGGTTGATTAGATTTCTTGCATTGCTTAGGCTCTGCAGACAACATTTCTGAAGTACAATTCGTAAATTAGTCACTGTCAGGCATCACTGAGCTTACAAACATCAGTATACTAAGTCAGATGAATGTCGTGTTGCATCCAAAAAAGGATATACAATGCGCATAAGTCTGACAGTCTCATGAAACAAAGAGCATGCTTTTTAGGAAGTTGCATTGTAAGCAATTTCATAAGCTTTACTGTTATGGAAGATGAACCTGGTTCCTTGAGCATCAAGCCTTTGAGTCGTATCGTACAGTGGTAACACAAATCTTCAACGAGACACGTCACGGGTTAAAGTTGCGGATGTTGCAATAGGTTGGCCCCATTGATGAGCTTCGGTAACAATCAAACTCTATAATTCTGTAGTTCCCCAACGTTATTGCACTGGAAGAACTGATTAATTCATATACAGATTCAGTGGATAGAATAGTTGGTAGAATTTATGGTACTTCGGATACTGCAACATCCAAATAACCGCGGGTTGAAAATGCCCTTCCTATAAGGCTAAAATAAGCTAGATGAATTCTTTCAGAATAATGTTACCACAGTTATATCATGTGAATGGTGAACGTCCTTCCCATGAGAATGGCATTGATGCTTCCCAAATAAAGAATATATCAGAAAGTTTCGAGAACGCAACATCTGTTCAAAACATCACTCTACCTTGAGGTAAAACAGCTGCGTTCCTCTAAAAAATAGCAGATACTCAGTTCACATGGATGAATTTGACTTCCGGTGTGCAAAATGCAACTCCACTCGATGTGTTGGATCTAGCACACACACACACGCACACGTATACAGGCAAATCCATATAGACGCCCGCACATCCGCACCCAATCCCAGACTCAATCACGCACACACGGACCGACGGAAGAATACGTGCTCATCCATGCGAGATGAGATCGGGTTTGTTTGATAAACTAAAGATAGTTATGTGCCTGTCCACCCCTACATACACGACTATTTCAACAATTCACTTGACTGACTGACATTATACACTATAGGTTACATTGTCTGAAAATGGGTTGGACTGTTCAACAGTACGTGTAAACAGGTGCACATATGCACTATGAAAACACGATCGGACAGCCTGGCTAACAGAATCTCGGATTTTTCTGCTCATTACACCAAAAGAATACTGGAACTTATCCAAATTATTTTCTGTTTCTCCTTAAAGCTGATTCCAAAGCGTTAAATAAAATATTGCAGTTGACGAAAGAACATTTTCGCACTGTGTTTCATGAACTAAGCAGTTCTGCTCTACCAAAGATATTGGTTGAGGGACATATCCAGTAAATATTTTGTCCGAAATAACCACTTGAGCTTTTGATCAATGAACATGGTCTTCCAAAATGAGCATTTTGTTCTTTTGAAAAAGCAAAATATGATTGATGAAAACGTATAAGAGGTGTGACTTTAGAGGGCTTCAAATTACACTGTCATCAGATGATCTGCGCCGGTCCACACATTGCCGACGAACATTCTCTTGGTTTCGCTAGAACGTGTCTCCAACGGATCAATGACGGGATATCCAAAATATGGCTTTTTCTCAAAATGAAGGAGAATTTAGTGAACTTTCTTACAAACGGCGATTTTTGTTTCACCTGGAAATAAATGAAAACCTTGCTAAAGTCATTTGCCAGCGCCCATCAATCGGATCATCCGAGAGTTGAACTATGAACCCTTCAAGTTGAAAACTCAGGCGCTTCCACCTTGCTAACCATTCCTTACCTATCCAAACCACCTTACAAATTAGTATTTTTCCATTGGTCTTGGTAAAATTCACCTGATTCACTTCAAGACTAACTGACTGAGTGACTGACTGACTGTAAAGGATAAACGGATTAGTGATTGTGTAAACCGCAGTGTAAAGTGATAAGGGGCAAAGCGACAACAAGAATAATTGGTATACTAGTGGTCAGAGTGGCGATTTCACGCAAGGAATGAGCACTGTGATATACACTGAAGAGATCAAAGTTAAACTAAGGGTTGACCGCATCTGTGTTTGCTCGAACGTCCTCAGGGTTGTGCGTTGAAAGGCGTTCAGAAATGTGAGCAATCAATGGAGTATACCCAAAGTCCGTACACACAAAACACTGCAAGCGAAAAAGTGAATTAGCAAGCGACATCATTCAGTGAAATATCATGAACAAATGTCTACATCATCAGACAGATTCGAACAAAATGACGTTACATATATCCATATCCATGATCTATCATAAAACATTTACCGAAATGTTCACAATAGACAGCTGAAGTGTTGTGAAGTTGAAGGACATGAATGTGGCTTGCACCATCCCTTGGAATTCGGAACAGTACTAGGTTAAGTGAACCTCTAAGCGGGACAATGATTAACGCATCCGAGCTCATTCTGTCATTGCAGTTACTAAATACGATGGAGATCATCCAACTGATACCAATTCCGGTATGAAAGGAGATTGCTCTGAACATGTCAGTCATCATGGACGTGAAAACTAGATAACCTCTCATAATTTACTTTGATTTCAGAATGCTTGAATATATTCCATGTCGTGCCTGGCCCTATTTGCGGGGAACCAGAAACGAAAGCTTCCAAGGAAACGTTGCATTTGTCCCAGAACCTATCCAGGTCATAACTTGGAGTTTACATTTATGGAATTCAATTTGCAATCATTGCGTTTGATTAAGTAAGTCCCCATTCATTTTTACTCCTTTCAAACGGGATCTTTGATGGACATGACCATTTTTAATGTTGATTTAAATGACAGTATTCGCCTAGATGGCTGTAAAATGACTGGTTGTCGCCATTACCCACATTCCATCATTGTACGACAAACTGGAGCATGTCGATGCCTTCTCTGGTTTCAACAAAACAGCAAAATTGTCTCAGAAAACGGTGATAGAATACAACAGTACGCAGCGTATCTCTTAATCGACAGTTCGGAGGGAAATGATATTCCAGATTTTTTGATTAGCACACCTGCACACCTTTGTCTGCTCGTCAGTTTCACAGGCACTGTAAAAAACAAACCGGAAATAAAAACAGGGTTCAAAACACATTTTTCACTTCATAGTGATCGTTCTTCAGCTTAATTGGGAAAACATGTTTTATATAACTAGAAATAAATAAACTGGACTCATTGAATGAAAGGTTCAATTTAGAAATGAAATCTTCCTACGGGGATACAACTGAAAGAGATGAGATCACGTGGTGCGCGATAATCAATCCAATTAATTTGTGTTGAGGTGAGACCAGACTGGCTTACCTCACCCACGCCATCGTTCTGTTCCAAATGAAATCCGGGACTATCCGAGCTGGGTACTCCACTGAATGTGAGTTTGCGCGGCGAGCCATGCGACAAATCCACATAACGGTTGGAAATAGTCTGTTCGTCCAGATTGTATGAGATCACATTTCCGTCTTTAGCACCGGTTACACTATCGTAGAGTAACGGCACTTTGGGTGAAACGGTAAACCCCATACTGACAGCTGGATTGATCGATTCCAGTCCACTGTCTCTTTCGGATTTCATTTTGCTGTGATCGATTACTATCGAGAGCAAAGAAATGAAAAAATAATAAATTTAGCCATTCGTTACAGTGATGGTTTAAATGTGTTTATGTAAATACTGAACATCTGGTATCCAGTCGTCCGATAATCCACCATCCAGAAGGAGATTGATCACTCCGTGTAGATGCATTTCATCGTTTATAGTTTACTCGAGTTGATGAGACTTACCGGGGGATGAACTCAACCACTATGGGTTTCATTAGCTATAAAGCATTTTCTATTTTTTGGAAAACCAACGCGTTTGACGTATCTCAGGATTTAATCTCTGCAAAATTGTCTCACATGTTCTGCTGTATTATTTTTGTACAACAACAATAAACATAGTATGATGCTTGTCACCGTGAACATTACAAATCTTGTAGTTTTTTATCGCGGAGGTGCATGGTTTAACTCGTTCGTGTGACACCATTCTTCCAAAATCTCACTCACAAACGGCTAATAATATTTTTTTCGCCAGAAAAAAATTAGAATCCACAAAATGTGACGTACCTTCGGTAAGTGAAATGCTTACCAAAATCCACAAACAGACGTCAATGTTAAGTGGCTCTGAATGCAATACATACTAAGAGCGCTATATCAGCGAGAAATTTATCCAATCAAATATGGTATTCATTTGTTTCTGATTCGAATGGTGGCTTCATCAAAAAGGTTGGGAATAAGGAAGCTTCTATTATGAAAGGTCAAAATAAGGATGACGGTTCAAGTATACAACTGGTTATCATTTTCACAACGATGAAAACAAATTATACTTCTACTGATTTTTCATTGTTCGGAAAAGATAAAATTGGAAAACGAACTATACAACTCGAATAAGTTATCAGCCTTAATTCTAAAACTCAAAAGGCCATTATAGTCCAGTCGTTCACCTATCCCTCATGTTTACTACACCGCACTTTGTGTAATTGCGTTAAAATTCAAACACTTTTGTGTAACACCAACTAAAAGCGGCAGCTTCGTAGCATACACTATACATGACCGTCGTTGTAAAAACAGCAACAAAGCTTAGTCTTCAAGTTTACGCCGTGCCTGCACACTTTTACTCAGACATGATTTCCGATTATTTTCAGGAACTTAAAGCCGAATTTGCAGCATAATATCGGGCAGGTAAGCTTGCACAACCAGTTATTTAGGCTTATGAATGAACACCCTCCGATTCAATGGGGAGTGACGGATTAATCTAAATTGCGTTTTTAGTTCGCCCGGTAAACCCCAGATGAATTATTCAGGGTCAATGGTTGAATTAACCAGATCAGGTCAAATACGTGAGTCAGGTCGCACGCCTTAGTCACAACCGACCCCTGATCTTTGTCATCACAAGCTATCAGTCTAATTACTTCATTTTCGATGAGTTCATGAACCCTATGCCTGTACATACGCAAGCCCAATCAAGACACATACGAAAACAGATCCGTCGAAGCTTAATCAGACGATCAGTGTAATATTACCGAAATCCCCGGATAACGTGATATGTGGTGACCCTTTGCAGATAATCCATTGTTAGCCTCTTAATCTCGTTGGTGATATCTTCACCTATGATTACATGATCATGAATTTTCAAAAGTGTGATTGTTCACGAAAGTTGTGCTCTGAATTAGAAAGATTTCAGCAGAAAATTTCATGACAGCCTGTAGATTCCACGATGCGTAACACGGTTTGTCGTAAAATTTCGAACAAACCCGGGTTTTGTATCAACAATTATTGAACAGATCACCGATTCATTTGCGTATTTGAAATATAATATTATCGTATCGATAAAGTAGTCAGAACAGGGCATCTTCCTTTGAATACCGAGGAACAGAGTTAAAACCTTCATCAGCCACATTCACCAACACACTCCTTACTAGCACTAATGGTTTAGAGCATTTTAGATATCACCTCGTTGGAGAATTGAGTGGATACTCTTTTGTTTATCATCAAAAACAGAAACGCCAAATGGTAAATTTGATCTTTTTTTCAGGTAAAATCACTTTTAAATGAACCTTCGTAACATTCGTTTTCATGACTCTTCATTCAGTTCTTTTGTAAAATAGCATCAGTTTTAGTGAACCGATATTCGATTTGCTGATGGTAACTCTTCCTGTCGTCGATGTTTAGTTAATTTACCAGTTTGGTAAAGTTTTAGCAGGAAACTCCTCAGAATTTCCTTCATAATCCATCATGGCATTCATTAGCAGCTGTTCATACTCATGAAGCGCTGCTATAAGGTGATTAATTTGATAGGAGCTGGGAGCTGAATCTATTCGTTTTTTTTTTGTTGGCCCCCAATATCTGAATTCTTCAAATTCACCACTATTTCTAATAACCAAGATCAGGAGTGTCCTGACTGAAACCGTCTTAAAATTGCCATTTATAAATAAATGGACGCATACGGTTATCACAGCTTCTGTCGTGGGAAACCTTGTTGAAAAAAAGTTTACCGCCAAACTTAGGCCAAAAGATGGATCTCGCTGATATTTTTCGATCGACGAGTTGTTGATAGTATTGGAGAGAAGAACGCGTCTGATCATTCACATCGCAAACAACCAAGAACCGTTGGTCACTAGTATTGAATGTCATTGGAAGACAATATCAGGTATGAAGATGAAAATAGCGTGGAGTTATCAAGCGGTTTAAGTGTTTGTCAGTGACAAATTTCGAAGCCACAGGATTTTAGAGCTGGAAAGCCGCCGCCTTCATACAGTTTTTGGGTTCACCAGTTTCACAGTCATCCGGCCCAATGCCACCACGTTCACTTTAGAGGGTCTCGTGTGGTTCGTGACTCTGACGTAAGACGACTGGCTACTCGGTGGCACGTACGAGCGGTTGCTCCTTGTGAATATTGGGTACACCTCTTCCACTGTTAACCTCAACAGTGTGTAGTGCAATCAGTTAAGCATGCTAACTAACCCAGCTTAATCGATGTCCTGCATAGGTGGCATCTTCCAACAGACACGAGGTTAGCAATTCTAATGAGTGACGTACCGATGGTTGCTACGGCTACCGGCAGTACACGTCTCGATGGATTTGTTGAAAAAGAGCTCTAGTGTAATGCAGATTCTAAATATCCGCCTTACTTATATGAGCCTGTTTTTTTGGAGGAGGTTAAGGCGGGATATAGGGTGAAAAGGATATTCACTCAGCAATGGAATTTTATTTCCAACTCCAGTGCTCATCGAATAGGGTTGAAAATTTGGTTATTTTCAGTAGGAGCATGTTCTACTCCATGGGCCTGTTCAGTCACCAGCTTTCATTTAAGTAGGTCATCGCACTAGTACTTTGAACGATGCGTTTACCGAACTCTTTTATCGAAACTCCAGAGGATAAACATTCATGTGCGACCCAGTGCACTGCAAAAGTAAAATCGAAAAGTTGGAAAGCAGTTATATTCAGCCACCTTGTTACTACCTCGCAGATACTCATAAGCTGGTTTGATCTGCTTTTCTGTTTGTTCGCCTGTTTCGTGAGAGCAGATTCTCCGTTCAATGGATAGTGAATACGCAATAAGGTGAAAACAACGATGCGAAGAATAGTTCAAGGGAATATGAAAACTTATCAATCAAAGAAGCTATTTCTCCTTGTTTTCACATGTACGACTTGCACCCAATGTAAAATGACGGATCATAAGTAACACTGGGTTCCAGAACGCGTGGTCGGTACATTGATGTCACAATGACCCTCGATTTTTGAGAATCAAGCGCATGGTTTCCCTCGGCTTCCGGTCTGCACAGTAGTTTCCCTCAGTTCTCTGGCGTACGGAACGAGTTATCTTCATTGCGCCCATGAGCATTTGTCGTACATGTATATATACATTGATATATTCAGCCGTTGGTTCATGCAATGTTGAACGAAGACAAAAATTACTAAGTGGCAAAACTGACGTTCTCATCACTTATCCCGACATACAAAAGCTTAAAAATTGCGCAGTGAGGTGTATCGTAAAACACGGGATTGCTTTTGTATCCATATACAGCACGCTTAGTGTATCGAATTACCTTCACCGAAAACCTCTGCCGCTAATTCAGTAGATGTCTAAGAAGGACTAGTTTACGGAACTATTATGGAGTTACTGCAGTATTCCCATGACTGAAATGTTTATTACCCCAGAAACAACTGTGAGACCGAGAATATCTAAAGAGAGAATATCATGGGTGCTTATGCAATGTTTCCTCATAATATTTATCTCTCTGCACTGATCTGCACATGAAAGAAAACGTTTTCAAGTTTAACAACCGCTTCGTAATGCATTATCTGTTTCGGTTTGATTTACCACGGATGAGACATCAAAAAGAGTGTCTTTCTCCTGCTCTGCTGAAAAGATCACAATTAAATTGTGACGAATCATCGTCTGTTGCAACCGGTATTGTATGAGATCATCATAAATTGTCAAACTGAACTGAACATAAGGTTGGTCCCACTTCTCTGTAAATGAATATACGATTTCAAATCTTCTTGAAGTCTGTGTATGAGAAACACATCGCGCTCGATAATGATTGTTTTCTGTCTCTTTGAGAAGCAGAATCTAAGTGGAACTAAACAGAATATAGAGGCTATTTATACAACTACTTCTCAGTATGTTAAAAACTGTTCAAAATAAAACAGCCAGTTAGTTGGCTTAGTCAATGTATGGCAGGTTGTCATAGTCGTGCGTCAGCTTCCTAAATGTCCCTTCTTGAAGAGAGTACAAATGACTTGCGGTTGTGTCATCTAAATATCAGTCCGTAAATACAAGGCTTTTTACAAATGCCATCCAAGGACGAGTTGTTTGCACCTCAGCTTGAATCGGCACTAAAACGGTCACAGAATGCTGCTGACTCCATTCTACTTCGCATAAGCCGATGTATGAACGTCTCGCAGCCAATTACCCTTTCCCAGATCATGCCAGTTTGCATGTTTACGTTTGGGTACCCGGTCAACTACACTGGCTGAACTGCGCGGTAAGGTTGAATGAGCGTGACTGAACACGTCCCATTTTCATTGTGACAAAGATCAAAGGTCACCGACCAAACAGCTTTAAGCCCCTTCCATCTCAAGCCATTCACTTCAGATAGAGCATCGGTTCGACTGTTCTGCCAAGTTCAGAGTGAACCTAACCGATACGAATTCACCTTTACCATAGTTATCTGAAGTAGTGGTAACCCAAAGATAGAAGCCTATTCCGTGTAAGTAAAAAAGAGAAAAACCTTAACATTTGTGATCATTTCTATTATACAGTCTGTGGCATGCAGCTGATGAGATAAATTAGAATATATCTGGATACCAGTTGTGCAAGATAAATACACTACTCTCCCTTCAAATACATTACGAGAAAAAGTCGTTTTAATCATATCGTTTATGTTGGCTTCAGTTTTCATCGAAACCCCAATGGCTGATTGTCACGTGCATTCACCTTTAACTGTACGGTCAATGACCGACGAGATTACTATTATACACACTGTACACATGGAGGTGTATGGTTTATCTACAACACTCTAAAATTTTTCCCGTTTCGAATGATGCTTACCAAAAGGGATTACTTAAAAAAACTGAAACATAAAGCAAATGGATTCAAATACAAAATGTCGTCAACTTGCTTGTACCCAGTCTGCTATCTCCGGACATTTCAAATCCATCGGGTTTTCCATTGGAATCGGTCTCCCATGGATTTGTATACCGTTCTGCATTTGCTGTGGCACCATTCACCGTGCATCCGGTCGAACCCGGACGTCTTCGACGGGATGCGAGCAACGCGTGACAAGAAGTGCGTCTCACAAAAATCCCAATCGCGAATATCATGATCACACAAACCACTGCAGTGGAAATCACAATGCACATCATAATCAATTTGTTCAGCTCGATAGCCCCCGAGGAGTCGCCGTCTATCGTGTTGTCCATCGCCATCATTTCAAACGGACCCAGTTTGCCTCCTGCTGCTGTGGCATCCAGCATGTTTATTTTACGACCAATCGCTGGTTCATCCGTGATAGTCAAGCGAATCTCGAGCGAATTGGTTTGTGCTCTGGGTTGGCCCAGATCACTGGCCTCGACAATAAGGAACATGTTTCCCTATAGGACCAGATATCACGAATATGGAAGAAGTATTCATCGTGTGAAACACAAATGTTTAAAAATAAATGAATAAGTAAACTGAGCGAAAGTTTGTACCAGAAGCGAACGTTTAGTTTAGGATTTTGGCGGAAATTTCACAAATTCTTCGTAAGATAGGATTTAATAGTTGATAGCACAGGGTGCCGATTGTTTATCAGGGCTGATGCTATTTTGAATAATGAAGGTCTGAACATACAAAACTTAAAACTATAGTGGCAAGAGGAAGATAACAGAAGTAACATTCATCTCAGAAGAAAGAACCATTTTTCCAAATTGGCCAAGCAGATGCATTTCGCTGCTCGGAAGAGTATACTTAGTGGAATGAAACACTCAGTACCAGTTGTTAATAACCATAAGCGTTCTGAAGGATGCACTATCCGATGGCGAATTTTGCATTGTTCCCTAAAATCCCTGCTTATTACGATTACTATTTACTTTCAGTAAGGCCAGTGAGATTGCAATTTAGATTTTGATAAACTGACTTGCGGCTTCCCGAAAAATCTGTCACGACATCCAATCTTAGTTAATCATCAGTCCCGGTACGGCTAATACTTTGAAACAAGGAAATAACAATTAACCAGCTTGCAATATTAATTAACGGAAACCCCGTAATTCTCTTGTCCTACTCTGTGTTCTTATCTCGACGCATTGATCTTTGCCCAAAACTGTTATATTCCACCATATGATTAACTGTATATAGTACTACTAAAATAGTTTGCTCGTTGAGGACACTTTATACAAACGAAATAAACTGTGCCAAGTAAGAACAATCAAAACATTGGGAAATTTCAGGTTCTATTTATTCATTCGATCGTTTGACTATTTCTCAAATTTTTTTTGCTGCGGAAACAAACATCAGATTACTCCTTATAATAATAATAAGAGAAAACGATTAGGCTAATTCCAAGATACAGTCAGGGAAAAATCAAGTTGATTCTATTTGTGCAGGACGGGGTTCAATCAGTGGATCATCGTCGCTTCTACACGTCGAAATAACGTGCGCTTTTGGCCAAAGCGATAACGCGTGATCGACCTGTTGTCGTGTTTGTTGTTCGCCATTGATGATGTAGAGGTTTTGAGCGTTCAATGCGCTGTGATTCTGCAATCCCATTTGAGCTGACAGAGATGATTGGTTGGCTACATCATAAAACTGTTTTACAGGTTGATCGTCTCAAAGATGACGTTTAGGAATAGGATTTATTATGGATTCATGGCAGTTCCCGGATCGCTCCGCCCTCACCCCTCAGCATTTACTTCCGTATTCGTTAGAGCATCATTTAGATATCAACATTTCTTCTCACGAGATCTTTTCCGAATCCAAATCGTAAATTTTTATTGCACTTTATTTATGCATGCGAGTTGGTACGAATATGGAGGGGAAACGGAAAATCACGTGATTTGGTTTGCTGGGGATGTGAGAAGGTGGGTAGTTAGAAAACTTCCAAAAATGTTTGTCCCGCTGTGCAGCTTCACTTATTTACTACGATATATGAAGTAACAGTTCTGTACCAGATATTCTGTGATTCGTACGTAAGCGACTACTGAAACCCATTTGATTGCCATTTTCTGACATATTGATTAGAGCGAATGTAATTGTTTTTCTGTCTGTGAGTGTTCAATTTGTGGGCCTTTTGCCATTTACATTCCCTCGCGAAATTCAGATCCAATTTGTTAACTAAACTGAAATGCGTCTGGGATGTTGACCTGGGATCAGTCAATGCGTTTCCGTCTTCTTGAAGAAGTGACGCCCCAAGAGAATATACCAATCCGCATAATGCGGTGGTTGGTAATATTCGAAAAAAGATATTTGTTGGATCGTCAAGCAAATGATGAACAGGTGGGCAACTGATAAAATACATATTGCTCACTTAGTTGTGTGTCTATCCAAGAAATAGAAGCACATCAATTAAAAATGTTCAACACACGTGACGCTCAATCAAACCCAAACATACGTCCACGGTCAAACAATATGCGGAATCAAAGAAATGTCTGCGCGTATTGTCTAAGGCGTAACTGGTAGATGAACGAATCCGAAATAGTTCACCGGAAGCAATAACGATCCAGTTGGCTTTAGCCTCGTATCAACATTTCTGCTAGACAATCAGTTGATTGCTTGTCTGAAATCTAACTAAAAATTATGCATGATATTTTTATTTGCGAAAACGATGTACAATACAAATTGTTATCAGCGGTTGGCGTTGAAAAAATATTGCGCATTATAATCACTTGAATCTCGGGGAGGTATGTCAATCTCAGGACACTGATGCCCAACTTTTTTTACTTATGTATGCCCCCGGGCTGCACTCACTGTCTGCAGATGTCTAAGTGAAACTCACAAGTGGCTTAATTATGTATTCAGTCTATAAGGTAATCAAAAGAATAATGTACTGTTTTATGAGATGTTCCTCGATTTTTTGGTGAACAAAGCCATCAAACGGAAAATGTCGTCTGGCGATTGAGTATTAAAAGTTGTTTAGATATTGCTCCCCGGATGGACGTAGCTCTGGAGGAAACTTCACTCAACTGTGTGCATATTGTTATCCTCTATGTTGTTAAAGTTGAAATTAGAAACAAGAGGATTGCCATTGGAACCTCGGCATCCGCTAACTCATGGTGGCTAAAGCCAAATCCCGGTACGGGATTCATTGCTGACATGCGCAGAATGTGTTGTCCTACAACCGGGTAGTTGGAAAATATGTAATCTTTCACTTCCTGCTCTAACTGTCACATTTTGAATACTTCTAGTACACAACCGCTCATGCACTCTGTTGACTGACAAAGGAGGCAAACAATGTTCACCTTCCACGTAGCATGAGGATGGAAATATATATTGCGGATTATCAAAACTATATCAACCAATGGAATTTCATCTCCAGACATTGCTCAGAAAAAGAAATTACAACTCATACTCTTATCAATGTACCAGTTGCTCAGTACATTTCCCAACGACAATCCCGAGTGATTGCTCAATGCGTTGTATCACTGTTTGGAGGAACTCCTTCTGGCATGCACTATTTACTCATTACCACGAAACCCTAATTTATCAATTATGCCACGCAGTAAAAGACACTCATCGTTTAACCTTACAAATTGTGTTTGACGGTCGTTTAGTTCAGTTTCACCTTCATCCAAACCACTTCTTACGCAAAAGACTCTCAATTGATGCGCATAAATGATCCACCTGTTTTCCATTCATTCAGGAACGGACATTAGGACTGCTGAATGAATGAACTTTGGATACCATGTGCTAATCCGTATTGTTTACGTCTTGATAATGAGTGGCAGTTTCACCATTCAACATTGATCTGTTTTCGCGGCAGTCTTTTTGTCGGCTATCTTTAACCACAGATCTTTACCATATGTATATTTGATCTAGTCAGGTAAATTGAACGATCAGTCAAATTGCTTTCCAGTGATATTCCATCTCATTTATCGTTTGATGTCAGAACTTTCGTTCGCCTCTAGAAGAAGCGGAAGTAGACGCAACATTACATGTTTCCCAAAACTAACACTGTCAGGCGAGCTTGTCAATTCGTAACGGTGGTCCACTGATCAACGAGTGTTTTTATCAACAATCTCATAAAAATCTGAGGATGGTGGGTTAAACCCTGAGGAGAAAATGTTTTTTTACTTCACTTCCAGGGATCGCGCAGTGAATGTGCAACTTTCCGACCAGTATGCTTATCCATGAGAGATTATGACCGCTTGTATGATTGGGGATCACTCACTCGAGTTTCCCAAGAATGTGAAGCAGTGGGTTGTTGGACAAGCAGTAACTTGAAATACAAAATGTTCGGCGAGGTAAATTAATAAGGGGAACAATATTTTAGTCAAAGATATACGCTCAAATTAGAGTGGGATTTCAATAGGAATTTTGAAACACACATGTTCAATTGGATTTAGCAACCATGCAATTCTCATCACAACAGCATCAGACGAAAAACCACTCGGGATGCTTGGTCAATTAAACATCTCTAATGGTTAATAAGATGGTATCAACTGATGGAGCCATTTAATCTAACTTTTTCACTAAGCTGTTACTCAAAATCATTTTAGTCTGACATGTTCGAGTTATGTTGTACATACCTGGCATATTCTCCCCGTCACAAATGTCGTTAAATTATTTTTCCCCAGTTTACTTACATTTTCCTAAAATTAACATGCAAACTGGAAAGATTTGTCGATAAACGCGGTCAATTTGTGCCCCAAATATGCCCGACGTCTTAAAGGGCAGTGATCATTGCGACGAAGATAGTGTGGTTACAACAACGGTGCAGAACACTGTCAAATGATGGTCGCAGTACTTAACACACCATATCAGTTACACTTCGCCTGTTCGCAAAGATTGGCAATTTGTTTGCAAACGTTTTATCACCACTTCAAAAGCATTGATGATGTCACTTCGGCTGGTGACAAAACGTTTGCAAACAAAAAGGCCGAGCTTGGTGAACAGGCGAGCTACAAGAACCAATTTTGTCAACAACATACCAGTAATAGCAAAAACATCTACCTCAGATATAGTATTCCATTAGTTATTTATTTTTTAGATTTCACGACCATGCAAGCACTTATTAAGCACCGTTTCAGTCCTCCTGTGCCCGATTAGTTTTAAATGAGATATCTGTGCATTAAGTATATTTTTATGTTTAAGAAATAAATGTAGTAATTCCATCACTAACATAAGCAGCACTAACACAATCGAAAACCCCACTACCACGATCACCACCAATTAAATCACGATCAGCCTCATCAGCATCACCACTACATGAACAAGAACAACAAGAACAACATCCTGCGTTCCCGTTGATGTGGGTGGAAAGTAAAATTTAGTCAGACATATCCAGCTTTTAAACAGCTCAGTGCATTATTCTGAATTTAATAAAATAAATAAATAAAAACAACTTTACTATTTAAAAAGATTCAGGACCGCATATGAAAACCATCAAATTTTCAATTTAAATGTTTTATGTGCAAGTTACTTTTGTGGAACAAATGACGGCATCAAGTTACAAAGTCAAGTTGCAGTGTGATAGCATATCCTCGCGGTTGCTCACCATTTAGTTTACGTAACCATTCACCGAAATTCGGACACTTTGATGTATTCCAACTGTCTATTATGGGGTTGTGCCGAATTTCCCGTTCTGTGGAACACATCAAATTGAACCACACGGAGACTGTGGATCGATGAACGATTGAAACATAGCGAAATCGAAAACATACACATGACAATAGCATTAACGAACCTTTATCGATCTGTATTTGCGTACCGAAGCATAAAATCACATACCTGCACAGACACAAGGTCAGACAATAGATTTACCTTATGTTCGGAAGTTAACGTCCGATCCAAAAACAACTCTCCTGTGTCCGGGCGCACTTTGAATAGACCCAATGAATTTCCCTTGATGATCCCGTATCGAATCTGACCATTTGAACCCGTATCTTTATCCACGGCCACGAGACGAGTGATGATAAATCCCTTTTTTTCGTGCATTGATACACGAACCTAAAGAGCGCGGGAGAACAGAAATCAAAATGAAAAATAAATTTCCACTTTGGCTCCTTCGTGAAACCGTATACATTAAAATACAGTGAAATGTCAACAGGACGATATTTTTGATAATTACAATGATGCTTCCCGTAACACTATATCAGCCTTTCGCTTAAACATTTATTAATAAAGGGATGAGAAGCTTGGACTTAAAAATGTGGGGAAGCAGTAAACAGTAGATGATATTTCCTTTATGCAAAACTTCGTAATAGTCATGGTGTGCAGTACACCTACCGGACGGCATAAATGATTCTAAAATAATTGCAAAGAAGCCCCAAGGGGTGAATGTTCTATAAAGCCTGTTGGGTGCATTTTTAACGTGATTCACAAACTGCATCGGAAGGATTGTTTATTTTTGAAAGATACTGGATCCGGTTAAGGTGAAAGTTTGGTCGAAAGCTTAGCAACACACGTTGCGGTTGACTAAGATGAGCGCCGAATTGGGAATGACACTTAAAATATGGGTTTATGCGAGTGGGAGGATGGGGATTCGGGGACGACTGGCGTAACTGAAAACAGCTGCGAGGATTTGCTTATGTGAACAGTGATTTGCATTGTTTCGGCATTCGGGTCACATTCATCTAAATGCTTGCAAGGAGTGAAGCCAGCATGGTCGATACGAGAGGCAGCATTCTGTCGGTGTCAGACCTTAAGTGACATAACAAACGCTGCACGATTTTCATCTTGTAAACTCAGATTCGAGATAGGGGAGCAGAAAATGCAGTGATATAACAGTCTAAGATACCTCTTCATATTAAGCGTTGATGGATATCAAACTATCTAAATTTTCTTAGTGAAAAGACACGATATACGAAGTTTGTAAGGAATCATGTGAAGTCAAATCATGCCAAGGGATAGTTTCGTACATCCCGAGGGGTGTAGAACGTGAAAGATTGTGAGATAAAGTAACATATAAAGATATGGCATATGTGGTTTTTACGAACTATTGGACCAGAAAATATGTGAAGCAAAAAAAATATGAAAGTGGGATTACCAAAAGAGGCCAAATGTAAGGATAACAATTGTGATCACATAGTAGTGCACGAAGCTACAAGGAACGGGATGGAGGTAGCCTTGGAGAAGACCGATTGAACAGTTTTCGGTGTGTGAATCTCAAATAACAGCACTATTTGCAACTAACAACGAATAAAGACATCGGGAACATGAAAAAAATATTTTATGTGCCAAGAGAAACAACCTCGGATCATAATGGATCCTTGAAAAATATCGAACTTCATGGGGGGGGGAGCGAAAAAGCGTTTGGTAATGAACGAGGTAAGCTGTGTTTCTGTTAAGACACGTTAAATAAAAAGCACTGAAAATATTTGGCGAAATACTAGAGTCAGCAAAATGCGGCAGTAGATTGAGATATTTCACGCAACCAAAGGATTATGTGTAATCAATTAAGACCAATCTTGCGGTACAAATTTTCTTATCAAAAGGTGACGCGACAGATTTAATCACCAGACACGATCCATGTTTTAAGCGGACCGCTTTCTATTTTAGACATGAATACATCGACAATCAAGGGCCCTAGCTCAAATTCAATCGCCACACCGTCCTTCTGGTGATAGATTTCCTCGTTGAACCAGAACTTCACACTGTGAGTGAAGAAGAATAACTATTCAACGTGTCAAACCCGAACTACGTTCGGAGTGTATCGAAAAAACGATGCGCCATGTGATTTGTTTTGTACAAATTGTAATTTTGGGAAAACACAGCGATGTCGGTGCAGGTGAAATAAGCCGACGTTTCGGTTACCGCGGGTANTTCCCGACTCATTCGATTGTAAAAATCGCCTTGATAAAGGTTACCCGCGGTAACCGAAACGTCGGCTTATTTCACCTGCACCGACATCGTTGTTTTCCTAAAATTACAATTTGTATAAAAGAATAACTATTGTTCAAGGCCCGATGCAACACGCAGTGGCTTTTCCCGAGAGGGTCACTGCTAAGAAGTCTGTCTACATTTTTTATCATTTAAAGGCAACGCATCGGCACAGATTGTGCATAACATGTCATCAACCAAAGGTTCTACACAGTTAAGCTCAAAACTCCATTCGCATCTGGTTAAAGGATAGAG